TTGTATGGCCTATTGGCTCTGGGTTGAACACTTGTAGATACTTATAGATACTGAATTTAAATACACTGGAAATAACAAATTGTATACATTGACTGGAAATGTACAAGTTTAATATTCAAAGAAGATTCTAAACCATTTTCACGTATGTTTTGTTCTATTTTTTATCAGATTAGCCCATACTTTGTTTCCCATACCCAATTTTACTTGTCATTGGCAATCTGCCAGTGCCGCATGTTAATTCACTAGTGGGTGAGCTGGCAATGTGTCCAGCAAATGCACCCTACATTATATTTTTTTGAAAGAGAAGCAATTGCAAGTTTATGGTTAATTCATTAGGGCACGCAGGTATACCTGACAAAACAATTCAAGGTTCAACATGTCTTAGGGGCTGATGACATGGGGAGTTTTCAGCCCGGGCTGAATTTCAACCCAGTTAACCGAGCTGAAATTGTTTCACGATTACATGACAAAGTTCAGCCCGGGGTGAGTTAGAATTTCAATTCAAACCGGGGTTAAATCTCAGCCCGGGCCGAAAGAATGAAGTCTCAAAATGGAGGTACAGAAATAAAGCGACTTAAATGCTGTTTTTTCAACCTGGGTTGAATTTTCGTGTCGATTACATGGCGATTTTCAGCCCGGCCAACCGGGTTGAAATTTTCAGCCCGGGTAGCTCCAACCGGGCTAAAACTTCAGCCCAAGCTGAAATTTCTGTCATGCAATCATTTGTTGTGTTTTAATAGGATTTTATCCTCAGGCTGGGCTGAAATTTCTTAATTTCAGCCTAGGAAACCAGGATGAAACTCAGCCATGCTGAAAACTCTCCATGTAATCAGCCCCTTACCAGGTTTGAATTGTTTGGTTTGATAAGGCCTGTATGATGACTATATCATGATAGCAGTGTAATTGTGAAAACCTAACCAACTAACCATAGAGGCATTTGTAAATAATATATTAGTTTTGGGAGTCATAAATTTGCCAACCATTGTTATATTTTCAAACCTATGGTTCAATTAATCTGAATATGAAAACAGAGTTATTGCAGAAGATAAATGAATTGTATAGTTACAAATTTTATAAAATATATAATATCACTTTCTTTTCACTACTGTTTTACAGTAATGCAAAGGCTTTACCACGTTTTGCATCGTTTTCATACTCGATAATATAATCTTTGCTACGGTTGAATTCACCCGACTTTTTTATATCGCATCCCACATTGTTTCCAACGATCGAAATGTACTTTTCACAACGTATAGCTTCTACAATGTCAATCAACTAAAGAAGTAAATGCACCTTTATATATAAACACATAGATACTTCGTACAATAGATTCCCCATGACCATGTGTTGTAAAGTGTTTTGAATTACTGGCTATATGCCTTGTAATTTGGCACTAAGGCCGCAAATTTGTCGCACACATACTGTAGCACTGAAAAGACTTCTCACTGTCGATTGGGCAGCAGAAAAATCAGTATTTAATACAACTGTTTTTCTTCCGCTAATAGTAACAGGGGCCTCGATGCTATAAAAATATTCGTCTATAAATCTACGTATTCGCTCTCTCGTTCATCTTCCAAACGATACCGTCATTTCCGATCGTTGAAAACACTCTTTGCTTTTATTATTACTGTTTTCAAATGTCTGCATCGATGAAGAAATCACTCCTCTTTCGATATCACTATCCATCGTTATTATAAATGCTCCAAAAGATACAAAAATGCTTTTATTATCAGTATTAACCCAACACTTTCAATATAATTTCCTACAAATGTCAACACAAGCGTCCCCCTATCTCGACACGTGACATTTTTTTCCTTTGTGCTCAACATAGTTTGCCGCCCCCTTTGAAGTTTGCCGGCTAGCCTAACCATCCTCCTTCTATTAACCGTGATTTGAGCGAATACTGTATCTGTGATTAAGTTAATATCGTCAACTAGTGTACTCGCGCGTCTATATAGCCCAAAGTTCAACAAAGCAAAACAAAATATATAATCGTTTCATCGTTTGCTTTTTGTTAATACGGCATTTATACAGAATATATTATACAGTATGAACATACCGCATTACACGTCTTATCCCACAACTGATATGCGATGTTTTATCACTTTGCGCACTTTCTCGACAGCGAATAATATTTGCTGGCAAGTTCATTATATGGCGGCTTGCTTCTTCCTTGACCCTGACCAGAGCTTCCTGAATTTTTAGTAAGGATATCGCCTTGGTTTGTCTTTCTCTTCTCTCGAACCTTTTGCGCTTCTTACGGGCTGTCCTCGTTCTTTTTTCTGTTGGTTAGGGCTGTGAATATGCCGTTTAACTAAAGTAGGCTTTTCTCACACAACGGTTGTTATTAGGCATAGATGTCGGTATAAACTGCGCGCGATTTTGCGCCAAATAAGTTTACTAATGCATGGGTCTGGTTTGACGTCATCATGCCCATATTTGGTGAGTGCGCAAAGTTAATTGCATTCACCTTGTCTGTCGTATTCATGCATGCAAAGATTTATATTTCTTTTAGGCCGCGTGTACACGATACCAGACAGATTTTCATTTACCAGACAAAAGTTTAAGTATTTGACCACTTATCCGTACAAGTTTTTGTCCGTCACGAAAGCGTACCAGTTTCAAAATGTATCGACCAGACAAATGTTTGTTCGGTTAC